CTTCCTCCCACTCTGTCTAAAGATAAATGTAAAAATATCCTTAGGTGAGGATTAAAAAATAATTACATTCAAGCCTTGGCTGGTTTTGCTCAGTGGTTAGAATGTTGGCCTGCAGACCGAGGAGTTGCAGGTTTGATTCTGGCACATACTTTGTTTGCAGTTCTATCCCTGGCCCTGGTCGGGGTTGTGCGGAGGCAACCAATCAATGTGTCTCTCTCACATGGATGTTTCTCTTTCTCTATTTCTCCCTCCTACTCTGTCTGAAAATAAATGGAAGGGTAGCCTGTGTGGCTCAGTGGTTGAGCGTCAACCCATGCACCAAGAGTTCGCCAGTTTGATTCCCAGTCAGGACACATGACCAGGTTGTAGACCTGATTCCCAGTAGGGGGCATGCAGGAGGCAGCCAAATGATGTTCTCTCTGATCGCTGTTTCTATTTTTCTTTCCCTCTCACTTCTTCTCTCTCTCTCAAATCAATAAAAGAAAAAAATAAATTTAAAAAATATAAATGGAAGGGTATCCTTGGGTGAGGATTAAAAAAGAAAAAGAAAAAAGAAAAAAAAAAATACATTTAAGTTTATCTTCAAGAGAAGGCTGTTTTCTGCTTACAAAGGACCAGGTAGAAAAATAAATAAGTTATCTTGGGAGGAACAAAAATTAGGATGTTCTCACAGTTTCTCTCTTCAACACTAAACACAAGTGTTTTTTTTTTTGCATTTATTGAGATGACCATGTGATTTTTACCCTTCATTTCGTGAATGTGATATAACACATTTTGTGATTTGTGAATGTTGAACTATCCTTGCATCCCTGGAATAAATTCAATTTGATCATGGTGTATGATCCTCTGTATTGCTGAATTTGGTTTCCTAAATTTTGTTTAGAATTTTTGCCTCTATGTTCAACAGGACTATTGGCCAGTAATTTTCTTTTCTTGTAGGGTCCTTGTCTGGTTTTGGTATCAGGGTAACACTGCCATTGTTAAATGAGTTTGGGAGTGTTTTCTTTTAGCTTTTGGAAGAGTTTGAGAAGAATAAGTATTATTTCTATTTTAAGTGTTTATTAGGATTCACCTTCTAGTCCAGTACTTTTGTTTGTTGGGAGATTTTTATTATTGGTTAAATCTCCTTACTCATTATTGGTCTTTTCAGATTTTCTGTTTCTTCATGATTTAGTCTTGGTAGGTTTATGTTTCTAGAAATTTATCCATTTCTTGTAGATTGTTCAGTTTTGGGCATATAATTGTTCATAGTGGTCTCTTATGATTCTTTGTGTTTCTGTGGCATCGGTTGTAATGTCTCCTCTTTCATTTCCAATTTTATTTATTTGAGTCTTCTATTTCTTATTAAGTCATACCCAATGTTTGTCTATTTTATCCTTTCAAAAAGTAGCTCTTAGTTTCATTGATCTTTTCTTTTGACTTTTTAGTCTATTTCACTTATTTCTGCTCTATTCTTTGTTATTATCCCTCTAACTGTCTCTAGTCTCAGCCTTTCACAATCTTTTTTTCTAACTCTGGAGCCAGAATAACCTTTGTACAATAACATCTGATATCATCTTCGTAATCTTTTATTGGCTCCCCTCAGAAAAAAAACCCCACAACTCTAATATAGATTACAAGATCTTTACTCTCTTGGCCCTTGTTTATCTTTGTAATCTCATCTCTACTTTCCCCTCACCACCTGGATCCCCACCGTCACCTCAGGGTCACACTGAAGAGGTCTGGCTACACTGCATTGCTGCACAACCCTAAAGTCCTCCCTCTTTATTTCTGTTTCTCTCTACCTCTTTCCCATATTATTCTGTCTTTCTCTCTGTATCTCTGCCTCTTCTTTCTGGCCCTTTCTCCCTCCCCCTCTCTCTTTCTGTTCTCTTTTCCTATTCATCCCCTCTCTCTATTCCCACCCACACCCCCATGGCTCTTAGAGTCATGAGTTCTATGTATTCATTAATGAAGCATGGTACTTTCACATAACATAATGAGGCTGGTGACCATAATATATATGTAAAGATAAAAATTGAGTTTTGGGCCCAGCTAGTGAAGCTCAGTGGTTGAGCGTCAACCCATGCACCAAGAGGTCGCTGGTTCAATTCCCGTTCGGGGCACATTGCCCAGGTTGTGGGCCAAATCCCCAGTGGGGGCATGCAGGAGGCGGCCAACAGATGTTCTCTCTCATCAATGTTTCCATCTCTCTCTCCCTCTCCCTTTCTCTTTCTCTAAAGTCAATTTTTAAAAAATTGAGACTTCCGGTCAAGGTGGCGGCGTAGGTAAACGCTTGCGTCCTCCCACAACCACAGCAAAGTTACAACTAAACTACAGAACAACCATCATTCAAAACCACCTGAAATCAAAACAAAACAAAACAAAACAAAAAACCACCTGAAATCAAGCTGAATGGAAGTCCTACAACTACGGAATTAAAGCAGCAGCCACATCGAGACTGGTAGAAGGGGCGGAGGCGCGAGATGTGGAGGCACGACGGGCTGGTCCCAAACCCACGTGTGGTGGATAAAAATCAGGAGGATACCTCGGCTGGGAAGGTCCTTCCTGAGGACTGAGGGGTCCCCGTCCCATGTCAGGTGCCCCACTCAGGGTTCCAGTGCCAGGAAGAGAAGCCCCCATAATTCTGGCTGGAAAAACCAGCAGGAACTAAGGCTCAGGGAAGCTAATGTGGCTGGAGCCCCAGGCAGCTCCTTAAAGGACCCGCGCACGGACTTATCAGACTCTCTCCCTCTAAGCTTGGAGGGGAGGCAGCTCGAGGGGCACCAGAGACATACAGGAAAGAACTGAGCTGTTTGGCACTGAAGCGAGGGCTGGAGAGGGGGCTTTCTCGGGACAAATGTGCTGCCAGAGGCCTTTGTTCCTTTCGTGAACCCTGCCCTGGGGCGGTAGACAGTCGCCATACCTCGGACTCCAGCAACCTGGCTCACACTGGTAGCCCCACCCTGGTGACTCCCTGAGGCCCTGCCCCACCTAACTTTCAGGCCCACCCAAGCTGTTGCCAGTTGCTTTACCATAGTATTGGCCTGTCTTGGATCCTGCTTCAGGATTTTCCTAAATTCTCTCAAACAAGCAGCATCTGGTCTCAGATAGCCCCATAACTCTCGTTAAGTAATACACAGAAACAAACACAGAGAGGCAGCCAAAATGAGGAGACAAAGAAACAGGTCCCAAATGAAAGAACAGAACAAAACCCCAAGAAAAGAACTAAGTGAAATGGAGATAAGCAACGTAACAGATGCTGAGTTCAAAATACTGCTTATAGGGATGCTCAATGAACTTTTTTTTTTTTTTTTTTTTTTTAATCCTCACCCGAGGACATTTTTCCATTTTTTGTTTAGATAGAGTGGGGGGGAGAGAGAGAGAGAAACATCGATGTGAAGGGACACATCGAGTGGCTGCCACCCGCACGACCAACCAGGGCCGGGGACAAACTGCAACCGAGGTATGTGCCCTTAGCGGGAACCGAACCCGGGTCTCTCTGTACCGCAGGCCGACGCTCCAACCGCTGAGCCAAACCGGCCAGGGCATGCTCAATGAACTTAGTGCTGCTTATAAGAATGCTCAATGAACTTAGTGAGAACCTCAGTGAACTTAGTGAGGGCCTCAAGAGCATAATAAAGGACCAGTCAGAAATGATGGATGCACAGTCAGAAATGAAGGAGGCATTAACTGAAATAAAGAATAATTTACACAGATTCAATAGTAGAGTACGTAAATCCAAGAAGCAAACCATAGATCTGGAATTTCAAAAAGCAAAAAATGCCCAATCAGAACAGCAAAAAGAAAAGAGAATCCAAAAAATGAGGATAGTGTAAGGAGCCTCTTTGACAACTTCACGCGTGCCAACATTCACATCTTGGGGGTACCAGAAGGAGAAGAGCCAGAACGAGAAATTGAAAACCTGTTTGAAACAATAATGGCAGAAAACTTTCCTAACTTGGTGAAGGAAACAGACATACAAGTCCAGGAAGCACAGAGAGTCCCAAATAAGATGAAACCCAAGAGGTCCACAGCAAGACACATCATCACCAAAATGCAAAAGGTTCAAGACAAAGAGAGAATCTTAAAAGCAGCAAGAGAAAGGCAGTTAGTTACCTACAAGGGAGTTCCCCTAAGGCTGTCAGCTGATTTCTCAAAAGAAACTTTGCAGGCCAGAAGGGAGTGGCAAGAAATATTCAGAGTGATGAAAACCAAGAACCTACAACCAAGATTAACTCTATCCTACAAAGCTGTCATTTAGAATCGATGGCCATATAAAGACTTTCCCAGACAAGAAAAAGTTAAAGGAGTTCATCACCACCAAACCATTATTATATGAAATGATGAAGGGTCTTTTTGAAGAAAGATAAAATATATGAACAAACAAAATGGCAATGAATACATAGCTATCAACAATGGAATCTACAAACAAAATGAACAGGTAGAACAGAAACATTCTCATAGATACAGAGAACATTTTGATGGTTGCCAGATGGGAGGGGGGTTGGGGGAATGGGTGAAAAAAGTGAAGGGATTAAGAAGTACAAATTCATTGCTAGATTGACAAACTTCAAAGGGAAAGGGGTTGGGGGGGGGGGTGGGAAGAAATAAACCAAAGAACTTATATGCATAAGCAATGGACACAGACAATACTGTGGGAAAAGGCGGGAGGGAGGCGGGAGTAGGGAGGAGGGGGTCAATGGGGGAACAATGAGGAACATCTGTAATATATTCTACATTCAACAATAAAGATTTTTTTTAAAAATTGAGTTTTGGATCAAAGTAGAATAATACTGTTTCCTCTAGTGGTTTAACACCCTCTAGTCCTGAGGATGCAAAATGTTTTGGCTGTGGCAGCCTAATATCCTTTGTTTGGAATTGTAACTACTAGCTCACTCACATGTACATGATAGTAACCTTAACTGAGTTACAGTTTTTTTAAGTATCTCATATACACAGTATCTAATATAACAATAAGTATTTCTTTTGGTAATTGAAAGGAAAATTGAAAATACTACCTCTTTTGAAGAATTTCCTTGTAAATTTGACATAGGAACAATTTCATCTGAATTAACAAAGTTGCTGACATTTGGAAATAATTCCTCCAAAGACGCTTTTTGTACTGAGGACAGATCAATCTATAAAAGAATATATTACTCCTTTGTAGTTAAATGTTACAAAACCAGTTATTTTAAAATAATTAAAGTTGAAAAATATTATTTCATTAGAAGCATTTTCTTGTGAACTTGACATATGAACAATTTTATCTGAATTAATATAATTGCTGACATTTTAGAAATAGATCTTCAAAAGATGCATGTTTAACTGGGGACAAATCAATCTATAAACAAGATTATAATATTCATTAGCCTTAAAGTTATTATTTAGCCTGACTGGTATGGCTTAGTGGATTGAGCATTGTCCCATGGACTGAGAGGTCCCAGTTCGATTCCCAGTCAGAGCACATGCCCAGGTTGCAGGCTCAATCCCCAGTACGGGGCGTGCAGAAGACAGCTGATTGATGTTTTTCTCTCCCAAATTGATGTTTCTATCTCTTTCCCATCCTCTCTCTGTCTTTAAAAAAAAAAATCAATAAAAAATATATTTAAAAGTTATTATTTAAATAGATATTTTTATTAGCTACAGTATCATGTAATTTTTTTTTCCTATTCTTCATCCAATTAATACTTAACTGAAATCCATCTACCCTCACTGTGAGCCAAAAGACTGAGATTGACAGTCAAAGAAACAGAGTCAGAGACAGAAAAGGGCACATAGAGATCAAGACAGGTTGGTGCTCTAGTATTCTAATCTATTTTCCTTCTCTTATGTATAGCAATACACAAAGTACTTTCAGTAAAAGGGTGTTTATGCAACAGAAAAATGAAAATACTATTCGTTATGTACAATATTCCCTGGATGTGACAGAAACAGAATAAAAGGAAGGAAGGAGATCCAGAAGATAGATACAAGTGCAAATACTAATACTTACCTCTAAACTAGCTGTTTGCGAAGTCGGAGTACTTGTTAACAGGCCTCTGATTTTCTTATCAGGAGTAGTGAGATTTGTATTCTATCAATGTTTTGTGAAATAGTGAATTGAACAGGAGAAATAAATAAACTACTTTAATACCATAAAAACACACTTTAAAATTAGTAGACTAATCATAATGTTACACTAATAAAAATATAATCTGTGAATTATATTTTAAACCACTACACAGGTAACTAAAGAATTTTCTGGCTTGAGCTAGGTCAAACAACTCCTAAGAAAACTTTATGTGGTGCAACAACTATTTGAGAATACTTTGGCTGAAATCAATATTAATTTAGGGACAAAAGCTAATTAAAATTTTCATTTAGGAAATGGTGCTTTGTTTATCTTTGTTAATTGTTAAGAAAGGTAATTTACTTATATAGCATTTATTTGATTCCTAGTATATACTGTACTTTTTTATGGAAAGGCATTATAAGTTATTTCTGAAGCTGCTAAAACATGTAACAAGGACACTTGATTTAAAATACAAACATTTAAATGTATATAGTTACTTTCATTTACGGAATGTCAAAGTTAAAGAAAATACAAAGTAGGATACAGACTTGTTTTACATTTCTTTAAGATGTAAAGAGGCAGACAATGAGAGACAAATCAAGAGTGAGAGAGAAGAGAAAGAAACAAGATCAGAAAGCTAAAGAGTTTGAGAGAAAGAGGGAAGGACTGTCAGAGAAAGAATAGGAAGAAAGGGAGAGGGAAAGAGAGAGGAGAGGAGAATGAGAGGAGGAGAGAAAAGAAAGAGGGAAGAGGTGGGGAGGGGGGAAAGGGAGAGAGGGAATGGGGAGACAAAAGACAGAGGGGAAGATTAATAAAAGAGGGAGGTAAACGAGAGATGGAAAAGACAGAGAACAACAGAAACTGAGCAGAAAGACTGAGATTGATAGATAGTAAAAGAAACAGAGTCAGAGACAGAAAGGGACAAATAGAGAGAGAGAAACAGATAGGGAGAAGAGATACAGACACAGCTTGAGACTGAGAGACAAAACTAGGGAGAGCAAAGACAAAGAAACAGGTAGAGAGGCAGAATAGAAAGAAACAGTGATAGTGACAAAAAGAGAGAGAAGATTGGCTGCTTCCTTTCCAGCCATCAGCTGCCTTTTCAACTCTTGGATTCCATGAAACAACCATGTCCCTTGGATAAATCTCTGAATAGGTGTCTACTATATCTTGCCATGTCTGGAACGCTAACTCAGAGTTAAATCTTGAACAGCACAGGAAAGTTTGTGTTAGGATTCTTTTTTCTTTTTTTCACTATTTTCTTTCTGGCTTAAAAAACATCTGAAATTAGCCCTGGCCGGTTTGGCTCAGCAGTTAGAGTGTCAGCCTGTGGTCTGAGGGTCACAGGTTTGATTCCTGGTCAAGGCACATACCTGGGTTGCAGGTTTGATCCCCGACCCCAGTCAGGGTTCTGCTGGAGGCCCCAATCGATGTGTCTTTCTCACATCAATGTTTCTCTCTCTCTTTCTCTCTCTCTCTCTTTCTCTCTCTCTCTCTCTCTCTCTCCCTCCTTCCTTCCCTCCCTCCCTCCCTCCCTCCCTCCCTTCTACTCTATCTAAAATCAATGGAAAAATATTCTCAGGTGAGGATTAACAACACAAAAATCTCTGAAACTAGTTGTTTGTTCAAGATATATTCTGGAATAGTTCATTAGAAAAATTTTTTTATCAAAATAATAAGAACAAATATGTTATGGGCATATTTACCCGGTACACTGAATATGTCAGCTCTCTAATTTATAAGCTATATAATCTTTTACTTTCTTTAGCTGGGGATTATTCTATTCCTAGGGACTGCTGTGCAAAGGTTACAAACATCACATGTAAAGAGAACTTCTGATGCTTGAAGAGTAGGAGACACTTTTTTTTTTTTAAGTGTATGTGCCCTTCATGAGAATCGAACCTGGGACTCTCTGGTCTGCAGGCTGATGCTCTATCCACTGAGCCAAACCGGCCAGGGAGAGAGTAGGAGATATTCAATGATAGCTGTAATTATTATCACTGTGGCAGCCATAGATGTGCTCTGCTCAGACCTTGAACAAAAAACCTGCTGTTCTACTGCAAGGAATGCAATTAGCTCATAGTCCCCAGATGCAACATCACTAGAACCCGCTTCAGCTTTCAGGCTGAGGCCATCATCTTCTTGGGCAAATTTCAGCCAACATCTGAGCACAGCAGCCCAACATAAGATTCCTCTAATGGACAATCTTTGCTCCAGGCCTCCCATTGGCAGAGTTTCTGTCAGATTGGCATTGAAGACTCTCAGCACTGCCTTCAAGGTGGCAGCCATCTCCTACTCAGCACCATGGCTACCCTCAGACCCCCATGAAACCCAAGATTGTAAAAAGGAGGACCAAGAAGTTCACCTGGCACCAGTCAGATCGATATGTCAAAATTAAGTGTAAATGGAAAAAACCCAGAGACATTGACAACAGGGTGCTCAGAATATTCAAGAACCAGATCTTGATGCCCAGAGTTGGTTATGGGAGCAACATGAAAACAGAGCACATGCTGCGCAGTGGCTTCCTGGTCCACAACATCAAGAAGCTTGAAGTGCTACTGATGTACAACAGATCTCACTGTGCTGAGACTGCCCACAACATCCCCTCAGAGAACTGTAAAGCCACTGTGACAAAGAGCAGCTCAGCTGGCCATCAGTCACCAATCTCAAGGCTAGGCTGCACGGCAAAGAAAATGAATAGACAGATTGTGTGCACACTGTATTTCTAATAAAACCATAAAATTCTGCCATCTGGCATTTCCAAAAAGAAAAAAGAAAAAAAAAAGGCTAAGGCTATTCCTGCCCAATCCTGTTTCCTCCCTGCTTTCCTTTCTCAGGTATTGCCTGCTCCAATATACCACTTGAAGTTTTAATTCTGTCTGAATATCTGTGTCTCAAGTGACATAAATGTCAACTGTCAGTCAACTTACAAAACATCTACCTGTATAGAGCTGTAAATATAGTGTCTCTGCATTTTTCACTAGATTTGTTAAGAAACTGTGCATATCTAAATCTTCCCAATAAGTATATTTTCTTTTCATAGTCTTTTCAGGAAGTAGTAAAAGACTAATGCTTACCAATGCAGGTTCCAGGGGCTGAGGCAACAGAACTTTGGTGACTGATTTACTACTTGCATTGCTTTCAAGCACAGACCTCTGCTGAGGTGATGGAACCTTGATTTTTAGATGAGAGCTTAACTTTGTTTGAAAATTTGTTTCTGTAGGTTCAGGATCTTTTCCAGGCTGAAAAAAATTCATAATCATGAAACACCATTCACAGGCTATAAAAAAATTTGTAGCACTTCTCAGATGTCTTATTTTTATTGTAATATGTGTTATAATTGTTACAATTAAAATAGAACATATATTTTATTCTATCTATCTATCCATCTCCTCAACTTGAAAAAAGTTTTAAACTTAAAGATAAATCTTTTTCTAAAAAAAGTAAGATTTTTATATACAATATATTTAAGGAAAAAAGTATGTTGAAAGACAAAGTGGTTTGCAATGTAACTCAGTTCAAAATAATTTCTCTACCACATTTAAGGCAACATCTCCCAAAAAAGTGTTCTGTTAAAAGAAAACAACTGATAATTAGATCTATTAATCAATATTTAAAACTAAGTTTTAGAGAAAACATTAAATGTCTTCATTATGCAATAATCTTCATTTTAAAAAACCAAAAGTCCTCTCTAAGACATCAAAAAGCTACAACTACAAGAAAATGTGCTTTACCAACCAATCCCTGCATTTGAAACTGTGGACTGTTCAGTGACTGTCCTAAGTTGCATAACTTGTCTAATGCTTTCAAGATGTATTAAAAATAGGATTCAAAGTTTAAATATATTCAACACCACTAAGGAGGTGCAATTTGAATTGTGTCCTAAAAGAATGACAGGATTTTCAGTTGGGGGTGAGGGGAATAAAAAAAATGGTAGAGAGGGGAGAGAAGAAAGTAGAAGAGGCATATTTACAGCAAAGGAAAGAACAAGGATATAAAGCAAAGAGTGAGGTTCTTACTGATATCTGCTGAAATCTTTCATGAAGATTTCATACCTTCCATACAGCTTTTCCTCTCACTCCTGTCATTATTCTCAGCAATTTCATCATCCAAGTGGATAACTCATGTAAACAACTGACCTCTCAGTTGCTTGACCTCTGCATTTCTAATAACCATTCCCTCTCATGCTATTTCAGTCACTCCATGATCAAACTTAGTCCTTACCATCAACAGAAACTACAGAATCACCAATTCAAATAGCTTCTTATATCCTCCCAACCTCTGCTCAATTGTCTTCATGAAATAAACTTCCCCCTCACGGAAATCTACCATTTTATCTTGCATTTTATCTTCATCCATGATCCTTTTCCTGTCTTATTCCTTCCTTTTCTACCACCATCCATCATTATAAATACTTTCTATCCTTTTCTCCTTATAACCACTTTTGTATCCTTTCCTCTTCCTGATCAGAGATGTCTGACAAACTCCTAGCCCTTGATTAACCCTGACATTAATATCCTCTGGACCCCTAGTGCAAGTGAGTGCTGGGGAATATTGTACAATCAGACATATCAAAGATGCCAAAAATTCAAAAGGAGTAGCCACAGATTGGCAACTCTTCTATACTTCTCTAGTTTCTCATGACTATTTCATACTCAACCTATTTTCCTTCAACTTCTAGCCTCTTCTCTCTACCATTCTCAGCTGACAGCCTTACTTTACACTCCCCTCCAACTACAGAAGACATAGAACAGGATGTGACTACTCAGGACTTAGTGCAAAATGAAAATGTCAGGTCCCTTATCAAAAAACTACTGAAAATGTCAAGATGGTAATAACAGAGCATTAAATGAAACAGGTCTTTCTAAGCACAAAGCCTGCCCTCCAACCACTACATCTACAAATGTCCCACAATGGAAATATCCCTCCCTCCCTCCCTCCCTCCCTCCCTCCCTCCCTTCCTTCCTTCCTTCCTTCCTTCCTTCCTTCCTCCCTCCCTCCCTTTCCTTCCTTCCTTCCTTCCTTTCCTTCCTTCCTCCCTCCCTACCTCCCTCCCCTCCTTCCCTTTCTTCCTTTCCTCCCTCCCTCCATCTGTCTCTCCCTCCTTTCTTTTCTTTCTTTTCTTTTCCTCTTTCTTTCTTTCTTTCTTTCTTTCTTTCTTTCTTTCTTTCTTTCTTTCTTTCTTTCTTTCTTTCTCTTTCTTTCTTTCTTTCTTTCTTTCTTTCTTTCTTTCTTTCTTTCTCTCTCTCTCTCTCTCTCTCTCTTTCTTTCTTTCTTTTTCTCTTTCCTTCCTTCCTCCCTCCCTCCCTTCCTTCCTTTAATCTTTACTGTTGAGAATATTACAGATATCTCCCTTTTCTCCCTTCTTCTTTTAATGGCCAGATTCTCCACTTGTATTCTAGATCCTATTCCTCCCCATTTTTTCAAGGACTATCCTCTTCCATATAATAATATAGGGAAGTTGGGCTTTCTTAAAAAACTTTATTGAGATATAATTCAATGATAAAATCCACCTATTTAAAGAACAAAATTCATTAAAAAATGAGTAGAGATGATGGCGGGCAGGACCGGTAGGAGGGTGAGTGAGCGAGAGTGTGAGAGAGTGTAAGTGGACGTGAAGGTGGACGACCAAACCTGAGCAGTGCAGAGCCGCAGAGCAGAAAGTTCCTGTGCTGTGAACGGAAGCAGCCAGCTACTGCGGTAACAGCTCTTCAGGGTGCTTCTCCCTGTGCGGCAGGGAGGTCCCACTATTTTGGAAGGTCCCAGGTCTTCCCTGGGAGGAGGCAGTGGGAGTGGCTAGGGCCCAGCAACCTGAGCCCACCAGCACACCTGGCACCATCAGACCAGTGGACACTCTGTGTCAACACAGACCAGTGCACAGTAGTGGAGCTCCCAATGTGTTGGTTGCAGAAGCCATGGACAGTTGGGAGCCTAGCACCATCCCCCAAAGTAGCAGCCCAATCAGAGTTGAGATATACCCCAGCATCAGAGGATGGGGAGCAGACATGCATCCCTAGGCAACAGAAGCACAGACTAGCAGCTGAGACCCATCCCCCAAAACTACAGCAAAAGCTGAGCAGGAGTTGAGCCCCACAGGGCAGCAGCACTCCCCAGTTACCAGCAGCAGGACCTGGGGCTCCACAGAGGCCTGTGCGGACCAGTAGCTCACAAGAACAGTGGGAAGCAAGAGCCCGAGAGGGACTGGTGCTATCCAGCTGCCTGCCTGTGGGACCTGCAGGGTGCAGGGTCACCAGAGAGGCCTGTGCCACCCAGCAGGGACTGCACAATTTAGTTACCCAGGGGGCCTATAGTGTGCTGCAGCACCAGAGAGGCCTGCACGACCCAGCAGGGACTGTGCCATCCAGTTACCCATGGGACCTGCAGGGTGCTGAAGAACCGGGAGGCCTTTGCAACCCAGCAGCCCATAACATAGGTATAGAGCCAGGCCCCCAAAGGTACTGTGCAATCCAATTACCCTCGGGACCTGCAGGGTACAAGGACACCAGAAAGGCCTGTGCAACCCAGCTGCGCACAACATAGGTGTAGAGGATGTGAAAATACAAGCGGAGTGAATACGCAGACGATCTCCCAGGACCAAATGGGAATTACATCTAAAATAAAGACAAATCCTCATAAAAAAAGCAACAGAAAAGCAGCAGGACAGAACCATATAACCAGGGACACTGGTAGGATCTGAGGAGGCACGAAACGGTGGCGGGCTGGGAGCCCAAGGACAGCAGCAGTCTTAGCTGTGAGCAGCGCCCTTGGGGAATAAAGACCAAGCCTGCTCCACAGTGCAGAGAGCCAGGACAGAGTGCTAAAATAGCCACAGCCACTCACCTGGAGGCTACAGCAGAGGGAGGGTAGACTGGAGTGGAACTCCATGGGGACACCTGGGATCTAGAGGGCACTCAGAGTTTTTGCTGAGTTGTGGCCAGTGTGCTCCTTCCCTGAGCTGTGGGGAAAAGCAGCAGCCCCCCCGCCCCCCACTCAGGAGACTCAGCCTTTCCCAAGGGAGTAAAAGAAATACAAATTGAGGCTCATTAACAACCAGATCTATCCCACCCTCTGGAAATCCTCTTAGGTACAACACCAGGGCTACATTCCAAGGCACTGAGTAACTGAGACTACTAGCCACCAGGAAAAAGCTAGAGGATAACTGAACCTTTCCTGGGCTGGCAAATCTACCCAGGAAAGTAAGACTTGACAGTGGTGCTTAATGTGGGCCAACCCAGGCTCATCCAAACCCAGTAGAAGGAGCCAAAAACAGCAGAACACCAAAACCCACAGGGAAAATTTGGCAGGCTCCAAAACACACTGAGATAGCCAAAATGGTGAAACAAACAAACAAACAAAATCCCAAATGAAAGAACAACTCTATTGAAGATGAGATCAATGAAATGCAGTTAAGCAAATTATCAGAGGTAGAGTTCAGAGCCATGATCCTGAGGAAGCTCAACAGCATAAGTAAAGACATCATCACCGTAAGTAAAGATATAGAAACACTGAAAACCTACCAAGTGGAAATTAAGAATGACATAGCAGAAATTAAGAACACATTGAAGGACTAACCAGCAGAGTAGAGAAAGCTGAGGACAGCATCAGTGAATTAGAAGACAGGGTAGAAAAAAATCAACCCAATCAGAAAATCAAAAGGAAAAAACAATTCAAAAACAGAAAGACAGCTTAAGAGAACTGTGGAACAACTGAAAACGTAATAACATTCGCATCATAGGAGTCCCCGAAGAAGAAGAAAATGGGCAACGGTTAGAGAATATATTTGAAGAAATAATGACTGAAAACTTTCCTAACTTGATGAAGGAAGAAGGCATTCAAGTTCAAGAAGCACAGAGAGCCCCAAGTAAGAAGAACTCAAAAAGGCCCATACCAAGACACATAGTAATTAAAATGCCAAAAATTAAAGACAAAGAGAGAATCCTGAAGGCAGCAAGAGATAAGCAACAGGTTCCCTGCAAAGGAACCCCCATAAGACTGTCAGCTGACTTCTCAACAGAAACACTACAGGCCAAAAGGGAGTGACATGAAGTAATCAAGGTCATGAAAAACAAGGATTTGAATGCAACACTACTCTATCCAGGGGCTATCATTCAAAACAGAAGGTCAAATAAAGAGTTTTCCAGCCAAAAAATGTGAAAAGAATATATTAACACCAAACCAGCACCGCAAGATATGCTAAAAGGACTGCTTAATTAGAAGAAATAGGGAAAAATAATAGAACCAC